GAGCAAGAAAGTAGACGCAAATCAAATCAGTGACGTGATTAAGAGAATGTGTTCGAGACAACAGGACCATCTGGCAGCTAGAAGAATGTCAGTGGTTCGCTACAAGTGGCTTCCTTGTAGTTCTCAACGACTAAGTTGCCACCATTCGCGGGCAACTCTTCGTGCACACGCATGTGACAAACACCTTTGTCGTGCTGCACCTAAGCAACAGATTACTCACTTAGAAATGCCTTACCTTGAGGAAGTAAACTGTCCCGTTTACAATTTGGGAACTGAGTGCGACTATTTTCACATGCTTAGGTTCCACACCAAGCTGATATTTTAGGTAAGCTGCAACTGTGGGTGTTAGTCGCTGCTTCATTTCAGCAGATGGACATGTAGGCTTCGAAAGACCACCAGGCATCGCCATCACCGATAACACAAAATCGCAGATTGTGAATTGTGCGATCGCGATTGAGTTCAGCTGGTTTGGACGACTTAAACAAGCACCACATGATGTCAAGGTACTTTTAAAAGGTTAATTCGTGGTTAGGAGACAATAAATAATTTTGAATAACGAACAAAAATTAATAATTGTGCTACATTTTTTAAACTAAAATGATGATGTGAATTGCAACTAGTGAGAATAGGCTTCAGTTAATATTTGAATAATTTCTTTAAACAAAAATGATATTTACATTTAATCCGTTTTTTTTACTTTTATTGTTTACACAACTAATGAATGTTTTTTACAACATAGCAGCTGATTTTTTTACGACTCTGCTAGTGTGAAGTTTTGTTTTGAATTTATTTGCGATTTGGAAAATTGCTGTACAATGGTGAAATTCACCATTTGAGTATATTGTGAATTGTGCTATTTAGATTGAGTTCAGCTGGTTTGGAGGACTTGAACACACGCACCTTGATTTAATGTTTTCCAAAAAAACTTAATTTGGTGAAGTTGCGTGCTGCTTATTTTTTATGCAAAAAATATAATTGTCACACGGCAAATTCTTTTCTGTAAAGCACTACTTTTGCATTACCCTGTTTACTAGCAACACTTCTAATTAATTATTTGTCCTTACTGCATTAGTAGGAAATTTCGAGTTACATTTATTTTGGAGGTTTTGTGTATCTAATTACCACCAGCAGAATTTTGCTGTTTGTTATTTTGGTCTAACCATTCTAATAAATGTCCTGCCAGAAAAAAAGTTTTATTTATGTGTATATAGACAATAACTATTCACTATATTGTTTCACTTTATTTCCTTATCAGTGAGGAAAGTAACAGACTCGTTGCTTTCTTTGATTTTTGATTATTTAATTTGAATTTTTGTCATATTTTTTACAGTAAATAATAGACTTTTTTGGGGTAGGTTTTGCCAATTTACAATGCCAGTATCGTTTTGACAGTTTAAGTGCTGATCAGATGGCATTGCGTCTGATCACCTTCGAAATCCAAGTCATGTTGTGAGAGTAATCCTGAACTCGTGACCGCTAATATCTAGTTTGATGCTTAATTTTCGTAATAGACGATACTTTGTAAATGTCAATCTAAAATTAAAGATCATTTTGCACAACTTTGTTCAAATTGCTTCGCTTTGACACTAATCGATTTAAATTCTTCGAAAATGAAAATGTGCCTTACTTTTCTTTTAATTTCATGATTTTGGAATGTATGGAATTTTTTAAAAAAGGGCTTCTAATGGCTTGGCAAATATTAAGACTTATGGCTTCCAATTTAATAAAAAAATACAAAAAATATCACACCTGACCTTAAGGTCTTTAGTTTGTACCGAATGTAATGAATATTCGGCGTGTAGAGAAGACCCAATGAGGATGTGATGGAAGTTCATTAGCACTTAAACTGTTTGTGCGCTTTTTAAGAGATGACCACAACCATGAAGCAGTCCTAACACGTAGTTAAGAAAACGATTGTTGAATTTTGGTTCTTGTATTTTGAATACAATTTCCTCACGATAAACAACACAACTCAACCTGGTTTCAATCTTTATTAGTACCTTTCAGGGTAGTAACTATGTCAGATAGTAACACCGATAGTAAATCACGCGCGCTGCATACCACTTAAAACACATATCTTCTGTGAAGATGAGAGAACTCGTGTGATTTCCGCAACTAAACTTCTGAAGTGTATCAAATGTGCTTTAATTTGGGAAGTACATTCAAATTTATTAACGTTTGGCTTCAAATAATCCCTTTAGCAGAGAACCGGCGAATATTTTCAGTACCTGATTAGGTAGTATTCATTGTTTTAAACAAAACCAGTGGTAAAAAGCGTTATAATGAAAACTATTAATATCATAATCCGTTTCTTGATTTCTCGTTAACAATACAGACACATGCATGGATTTGATACGCAGAAATTTACTGCAATCACGCATTGACAATCAGGAATAAATTCACTTTTATGAACACTGTCACCTTGTATCTACAAGTATTTGAGCAATTGCCAATTTTTATGCTCTAATTAAACCAAACCACAAACATTAAAAAATGCATTCAAGAGTAGGGTTTATTCAAAAGCCGACTCTCAATTTTTAGCAAAAACTGTCGACAGGATTCCGAATATCCCCACCAAAGAAGCTGAGTTGTGTGTCTTCAAAGAATGATGCACGCGACTAATGGTCAGCGTTAATTCTAGTTGGGCGTTTTGCTTGGACTTCAGCCTAAAGTTGGGTGGGTTGCTTTTTACAGTTGTCATCTGGTGATGCAGACAAAACTTGCTTTTGCCAATGATCATGCTTTCTGTTTTCTTTAAAAAGAACAAACATGCATTTTTGACGTAAAATGGAGAGAAATGACCGAAGAACCAGGATGCAGTTTGTTTTAATTTATCAAAACGTGGAGACCATACAAATAAGTTTTGTATACGCATCTGATGTCTAGTAAAGTGTGAATCACATTTGAGTTATCAGCATTTAAAGGCTGTAAGGCTCAAACAAACGTTCTTGAAGCAAGCAATGAAGTGGTTCTGGCACATCAACCTTCCACGTTTTTACCACAGTCGTTGGTTCAATGGAATTTGTATCACTTCGACGTTCTGTCATTAACAACATACCACAAGGGTAGGCCGAAATTTTACACAATACTTCACATACTATGTCCGTCCTTAGATAAAGCTCAAAATCCAGCATCTCCTCAAAAGCAGGATGAATTGTTGAATGGTAACTCAAGGATTTTCTGCGATCTAATACATGTCGCAGAATGAGCATTTAGTTTTTAAGGCGACGGTACCAAATTGGTGTCACTGTAGTAACAACGCAGCTTTAAATGACATTTTTAAAAATTCTAATCATTTTCCAACCACATCCACGAGTAAAGTTTGTGTTTTTAAAGTAGGCTTTGAGTGACCTCCATTCTTACTATTTGACATTCCCAATGTTGCCACCATGTTTGAATGTCGTTGGATTGTGCAACGACTTCCGACGCACACTGCACTCAGTCTGTCTCCTAGTGTGATTCACGCTAGCGACATCGTCTACCGAGACCGTATCGAAATCGTCGGCTGGCTAGTGTATTTACTCTTTAGAGAGAATTTCACACGAAGACAAGGAGATGGGGAACAACCGTCTGCGCACGTTCGTAACGTAAAATGTCTGAATGAATTCACCAACTAACGGAGGCCACGTTGAGAGATTATTGTGGACTGTTGAGGGCGCTCTACAAGCACGCACGTTTTACTTATCTGGACATTCAGTTAATAGTATATTAAATAAATCACCCAAATTGTATTGGCTAAGTACTTCACTAGTCATGCCATTTCCTTGATAACCCCGAGTACTCTTTGCCGCTGTTCACAATTCACGATTTGCAGTGGC